ACGGCAGCAACAAATCCAGCAATCAGTGAACGAAGTACTAGACAAATACCGCTCAAAATTGTGTAGACAGGGGAGTGTTCACAGAAAAAAGACGGTAAACAACGCAATCGAGGCTGGAATAATGGTTGCGCCGGATCATGATATGAATCCAAAAAGTCGTAAGAGAAAACTGCAGTCTACGTTCTCTCAGCCGGTAATTTAAGAAACTGACATCTAATAATCGCACTGCAATCGTGGAGGTAGACGGTAAAGATATCGCGATTCCTATTGAACGTGTCAAGGTGGCGACTGAGAAAGAACATTCATCTTAATATGTATTTGTACGTTTAATGTAATCGAAAAAAAGTAAAGTTTCTCGTATTAATAAACTTTTTTAAGACAATAATGTGTAATACATATATGTAGTCTTTGTACTGCTATGGTAATCGTATATTTATAACGCAATTGTGATGACATTTGACAAGAACTTTATGCAATGTTTGTCACACATGGCGTATCATACAGTAACAGTGCGTATCTCATTCATCCAAGTAATAATGGACGGTGATGAAAAAGCCAAATCTACATTATCACGACATAAAGCATAATCATTGAAGAATGTCTCCAACACAAACGAGTCTCAAACAATAATATACGTACACGTCTAATATCAATTATGTTCTCTTTATATTCTCCCTTGTCTTTTACTATTTAAGTTTATATGATTCTTTTTACTTACCATCTACAAAGAAAGGATTGGATAAACGTTATTGATGCATTTACAATTCAACCGTCTATCGAGCATATAACCGTACACCAAATGAGGCTGTAAAAACGATACTTCATTATGATCACCGCTGCTGTAAACGATCTGTAATGGACATTATAAAGATTGGTCAACGAACGAGTTCATTATTCACCCTTCGGTATGCTATTAGTATTATTATCGATAACTTTAATTGACTATGCACATTTTACGTTACTTGTGTCTGTACATATTCTTAATTAAAAAATACTGGAAGAAGTACAATATCTCGATTATATACTAATATGGCTATTCTTTTATTTGGTATATGTAATGTTTGTCGCACGTAACGTTAGTATAATTATGTGGCGCTTGTTAAGGCCTCACCTTCGTTGTTGCTAACTATTGCCAAACGTACTCAGCAAACGAAGTCAAAGTTCATGGCTGCTGTTCAAACACAGAAAGAGACTGAGGCTATTGCCGCTGCATTAAGAATTCAGGGCTGTGCGTTTCGTTCCAATACATTTCTGACTCATACAATCAGTCTTTCATGTCTTTATTAAGCACGTATCTCACTTTTTATCTACCCGCAGAGATGATACAAAGCTTGCTGAGGTATGAGAGTGACAAGAGAATGCAGGATAGAAGTCTTTTAATTTTCCCACTGTTCAGGACAATTCTACGTGTCGCCACGTAATACTAAAATGCCGTAACATTTGTCACACACATTTAAGGATTCAGAACGTAAAGTGACTGATGTATTGTTGAATAGTCAAGGCTGTAAGCATGGAAGTAATCACGCTATCCAGTATGAAAGGTACGTTTTCATTTCAAATATTCCAGTCTTTCAGTCTTTATTGATCAAGCGTCCATTTTTCATTTCAATTCTTAGAGCTGGCATACTGGCAATAAAATTCTGACAGTATCTATGTCTCCTAATGGTAACTTACTCAAACTATATACTGTATCTCTCTGTTATGTGTATGCTTAATCAATTAAATACTCCCTCTTCCTCTTTTATTTATAGTATCTAAGTTTATACTTTACATAAAGTCTACATACATACCGCGTGAAGCATATTCAAGTGTC